ACCTCATTTACCTCCTAGAATTTACCAGCACAAACACTTCCCATTAACTTCTTCACAGACTAGTTATTTAATACCACCATAACTATTCCTTACTCTATTTTAGTAAACAATTACTTAGAAACCCCAGGCTAGTGTGGTACAATCTAGCAGAAAGGGTTATTAGTCTACATGCAAGGGGCTCTGGTGACATTGAGGTGAGGTTCTCTGGTAAATCTGCTCTTTGTAACATTGCATTATGATTGACAACAATATGTTCATCATAGCACCAGACAATCAAAATATTGTTTCCATTTCTAGCAGTTCCACACTATTGTAGTAAAAAGGTTCTATTGATAACTGGTAGCTTCTCAGCAGTACATTAGAAATATGGTAACTGAAATTAAATCCAGCATATGAGAGAATTAAAAGGGAAGGCTGAAATGTAGACTTTTTCCAAGTAATATGGAAGGCCAATTTAAATTATTGTGGAATTGTTAGCAAATATGTAGCGGTTATTTATTGCAAATGTGGCAGGCAACTTCTCCTAATGTAAGAATTTGAAATGGCAGATGTACAGACATAAACACTGTACATGCTTGGAGCAGACTTATTTTTGAAGAATAAGCAGCAGCCCACAATGAAGTCATCTAACTTCTAATTAAAAAAAAAAAAAGATAACTGAGTGTATACACTAACTGAACATGTTCAGTCTTCCTTGAACATTCTAAGTTTAAAACCACATTTGAAAAAGACAGAGTTATTCAAGTTAAAAGCTAATATATATGTGTACATATGTATGTGACAGACTCATTACTGAGACAAAATTATTCACAAAGTCCTTAGAATCAAACAAAATAGCTGTTCTTAACACATTAATGGTACAGGTTTTTTGAGGCTTATAAGAAATTGTCAACTTCAAAGGCTGAATTTGAAGTAATTAGCTTTAATACAACTGTATACTCAGTCATTTGACGGGTTGTAAACAGATCATAATTAGGATGCAGGTGGCTTGGCACAGCCACAACCTCTGGATTTTCACATTCAACTGCATACTAATACCCATCACATCATATAGGGTCACTCTGGTGATAACCCAGAAAATTGTTTGCAAGAACTTGCAGACTATAGATTGCTCATGTACAAAGACAACTATTGGTCATTTTTAAGAAGTTAATATAAGGGCAGGAAATTGAACTTTTCACAGTTAGGCCGAATGTTTTCTATATTGCATTTATGAATAGACGCATTCCATATGAGTTTGTCTTGAGCTGGGACTAACCCATGATCTGCTACAGTGCTTATGGAAGTACATGGATGCCAATAATTACACTACTGGAAAAAATATTTTTTAAAGGATCTTCATGCACACTTATTAAAGCAAAAAGAACATCTTAATTACAAGTACAATGACCCTATAAATCCCAGCCTAACCTACCATTTATTGTTCCTCAATCAATGAAAGTGTGGCAGTATTTCTGTAAAGCACACAGGTAATGATAGTTTAGATTAAGTTTAAAGCTACAATACAGAAAAGTGTTTATTCATTTACTAAACAATGTGGAGTAACTTGAGGAATCTTCTTCAACATACACATCTGGTCAGCTGGCAATAGTCTAAAGACTTCAGAGACCAAGAACTTCTGAATATCAGGAATATTCTTGTGTATGCGCTTAGGCTCAGTTGCAGAGGACATTTTTTTCTGCGTTATGTTTAACATGATTTGAAGATACAAAACATGTTCAGAGTACCAGACATTTTTCCAGGCATCATGACTCAAAGGTTTAAAGAAAGAAGGAGTTAGAACATTTTTTTTCCCCCCAAATTACCGGAAGTTTTAGCTTTCTACCCTTCTCTCAGTTTTTCCACTGGATGGATAGTTAAACTTTGTCCTCCATCTATATCATTTGAAGCCTTTAGCTTTTTACTCCAAACCATAAGCTCAAAACTGAGACCAATAATAGGCTATAGCACTCACAGGGATCTTAATTTTACATGGGGTAGTTCATTCTCCCATAGTCTTCACTCTCTTATCTGTCCCTGTTCAAACCCATGCTACAGGGACATTCGCACTCCTCTGTTTTACTCTACACAATCACCTTTTCCTCCATATATCTGGCCTACCAGCAACTTCCTATAGCCCATGCTGTCAGTTCTGTGCATTGACACAAGTTAACGCTTCTCACCCATAAATGCTTGAGATGGATCTGAAAATTATTACTTTAAATATAGTTCGAACTTGCTCTCTGATGCAAACAATGAAGCACTCAATCACTATTGATAAATGATCATTGTCAAGTTTGAGTTTCAGTCATATAAACACATTCTTACTCCTCTGAAGACACAGGATTTCAGTCTACCTACCTCATTTGCCCACTGAGAAAGACCTCTCTGTGTTTCTCCACACCACTTCTTCCGACTGTCTCACATTCAGGTTTACACTCCCAAGTTCTCCTCTCTTCTCCTGAACGTTATTCACAAAATTCCCTCATTTTCTCAAGGAAACTCCTGATGTTCTTCAACCCCTACTTGCAGCACTTCTATATATTGCTGTTTGTTGCTTCTAAAATCTTCCTCAGCATTCCTGCCACCCAACTCTCACACAGCTTCCAACTCCCTCCCCCTCACAGCCAACAGTGAGGAAGAGGCCACCTATAACCTCACCACAAGCAAGGACAACCTTCCACAGGGCACCCACAGTTACAGTAAAGCCCCTTGCTATTTGCTGAAGAAAATCTTTCACTTCAGTACTACTCTGACAGCAAGGTACTGCTGGCTGTTTCACACAGTCGGGAGGCAGAAATTACCTTATGGGGCTGCCGCACACGGCTCACCTT